GTTTTGATGAAGAGGGACTCATACCGGTTTTCAGATTCTTTAGTTTTGATGAAGAGGGACTCATACCGGTTTTCAGATTCTTTAGTTTTGATGAAGAGGGACTCATACCGGTTTTCAGATTCTTTAGTTTTGATGAAGAGGGACTCATACCGGTTTGCCTTTGAAATCGATGAAGTTTTTGACTAAATTTACACCAAACGCATGTTGCTGCTTTGCAAATTTTATGTTTTACTTTGGGCTTGTTTCTATTCTGTTTTAATTTCAGAATAATTTTAGAGTTTAAATGCTTGACAAATATCATTGCTACTGAATGTGTGAATAAAATTTGAATGGCTTTATTTATTGAAGACTAAAATTTGTTCTTCCTATACTGATTACTCCAATTTTTTCATTATGAAAATCTGTCCTTATTTTAGTATTATTTTAGTACACTGGTGTGCAAAAATTAAGGACGAGACGGTTTTTTCAATATAACTTTGTACAAAAGCTTTCCAAATCAACACATTTAATACCGTAAAATCCCCAATACGTAAGGACATGAGTAATGTAAGCAACACTTACTAAAAGAGAAATCAGAGGGATAAAAAGAAGCTTTATTGAAAAAGGAGCATGGAGCGCAATGCGACTGAAGGCCGAAACATCTCTGTGATGGGTGTCCAGCAAGAAACATCCGGTCTTTAATATGGGATATGATCTCCCCTGACTGCTAGGCAGGTTTCACGGCGTCTGCCCATGCTGAGAATAAGGTTGTCAATGAGTTGTTGAGGCATTGCTGCCCATTCGTCTTGCAGCGCCAATCGAAGCTCCGGAATCGTTACTGGTGGTAAGGTACGAGCTGCCAAGCGTCTGCCTAGAAAATCCCATACATGCTCGATGGGATTGAGATCCGGAGATCGTGCCGGCCAATCTATACGTTCAATATCCTCACTCTCTAAGAGCTGTTCGGCAGCTACTGTGCGATGACATGGTGCATTGTCGTCCATGAAAAGGAACTGCGGACCCATAGCGCCTCTAAAAAGACGCACATATGGAAGAAGAATCTCGTTACAATAACGGGTCCCGTTGACTGAACCTGCGTCGAAGATGTGAAGGTCTGTACGACTCTCAAGCATGATGCCTCCCCAAACGAGAACACCGCCACCTCCATACCTGTCCCTTTCAATGATGTTCGAGGGATGATTGCGGCTTCCCCGCTCTCTCCAGATGAGTATGCGATGAGAATCGCTACTCAGACTGAATCTGCTCTCATCTGCAAAGAGTACTCGTCCCCATTCATTGTCTCTCCAATTCCGGTGTTCCCGGCATCACAAAGAACGCCTTCTCCGATGGGCAGGCGTTAGAGGTACACACCGTACAGGGCGTCGGGCAAACAGACCACCACCGTGCAGTCTTCTGGCCACGGTAAAACGCGTTATCCGTCGTCCAGTCGCCTGTGTCGTGTGTCTAGAGATTTCTCCCGCTGTCTGCCGCTTGTTTCTTCTAGCCTGTAAGGCAATATACCGGTCATCTGCGGGTGTGGTGCCTCGTGGACGACCACTACTAAACCCCCCCAATAGCTGTTCCTGTAGTTTGAAATTGTCTCCAAAGTCGTGAAACGATGCTGTGAGCAATTCCGAACTCTGCAGCCACACTTGTCACACATTGTTCTTACCCATTAGGTTTTTTATCCATTAAATTGGATAATAACGTAAATTTTTATCATTGTTTTAAGAATTTTTGTAAGCTTAGATACGAAGAAAAATTTTCAACTTTATTGTTTCATTTACTGCGTCTTTTTATTCATGGCTAGTTTTATTAAAATGTTTAATGTTCAATTGTTTATTATATCTATGGATTGACTGCAGGGGCCTTTTCGTGGTTTTCTCCAAGTGTAGCGGGTATACGAGGCAATTTCCTTAGAAAGTCCTTTACGAAGGCTTCCCTCCCCCTAGGCATACAACCCTTGAGCGCTTTGCCATAATTGAATAAACAAAACCTGTTCGTTGTTGAGGTTTCATTTTCCATCAGTGCATATATATTCGTCAAAGCACTTGTTTACATTTTCATAATAAAATAAAGGATTAAGTTTTACAGAAGAGAAATCAAAGTATTAAAGTACAGCGTTTCATTTAACATACATTTTGGATTAATTTTTATAAAACATTTACCTCCGTTAAAAAAAAAAAAAAAAAAAAAAAAAAAAAAAAAAAAAAACATTATTTTAAAAAACGTGTAGGATTGTTCTTCTTTACCTAGAAATTGGAGTCAAAATACTACTAAAGACAGTACTAGAGAGACAGCAAGTTATCGCTTCGTTGAAACCAATCACAGAGTCGTGAGAGGGTTAAAATAACATTTTTATTTAAGTCTTAAATGAATTGAAAAGCACAGCTTGTGTGACAATTGAACTTCCGCGAATTACGGATATATAAATTAACATACTAGAAGGTTAAAGTAATTACGTTATTAAATTAATTTAAATTAATTAGTAATGAAGGTTAAAATAACTTCTTTTAGTCTCAAATTAAACAGAACAGGTATTTTTGTGCTATAGGTGAATCTTTTACCCCATGCTGATATTTAAATCAACGTAACAAACAGTTTAACTCAATGATGATAATGTAGTCTAAGATGTTAGTTAGAGACACATACTTTAAAACATCGTCTAGCAAAATGCTAAAGCCGAAATGCAGTTTAGGAAGAGCTGGCGATCAAAATTATCAGCAAGAAGAAGCAGTAGTCCAAACATTCAAACCCTCGACTTAAATACTACATAAAAATACTAATTTGCATCCTGGTGAGGAAGAAGAAGGTATAGTAAAGGTTTAAATCATAGTAAATGGCTAATTAACATAAAATACCTTATGAAATAAATTACAGAAATCTTAATTTTTTTTGCAATTGAAATTAAGTAAACTTTTCTTGTTTTCTTTAAAAAAATGTAATGCTATTTTTTATCAGAAAAATATATTTACAATTAAATATGCTTTTAGACTTTTTATTCAAAAGGAAATCTGTTCAAAAGTATATATGTTCTTCTTTATCAAAAAATGGAAAAAGAAATGCTGTTTGAAGGACGTTGGTTAGAAGAAGGTCGATGAAGTGCAAGTTGCAAAATGTTAAATTTGTACTTCATTAACGCAATAAACAGAAAATTTTGTGCTTTAACAAAATTATTTTTAGGCTTATTAGTAAAATTATTTTTACTAGAAACTGAATTGCCTATGCTTTACATAAAAACATATATATGCAAATTATATTCCAGATTATATTCACAGTATTAAATTAATTTCAAATAATAGGTCCATTACCTTCCTGTTGTTACCTGCTAGTTAGAAGTATCCACTTGATACAATATAAGGTATTTCTCCTGCTTTCTTAGCCTGCCTTTGTGGTGTAATGGTCAGCACGCTCGGCGCGTATTGGAGAAATCCGTGTTTCGAGTTCCAACGAGGGTATTGTTCATTTTTCAATCTCTTCTGCTTAAAATAACCTAATGTCTTTACAACTATACGGTGAATTTTGTAAGTAATAACCAAAATCTTTGTATCTATACTAATTATATTAGGTTATAGTGGTAATGCAATTTTTAGTATATTTGAATAGTGAAATTATGATCTGATATTTTTTCACAATTACGTATTCGTATTTTTTAATAAAAATAACGTGCCATTTACGCATTTCGATAAATTCCATAAATCCATGAATTCGTTAATAATTCCGTAATTTATAAATTTGTACTTTTGGAAACTCTGGTTTGTTTCCAGTTAGAGGGCGGAAAATTAGGCCTAACCCCCGGGTGGCTGAGACCCATGCTACGTCACTGACTAGACTTATCCTCCACACGATTAAAGGGACTACACGCATTCTAATGGGCTCAACACACAAGAAAAATCCAGTACGCACAATTTATATATTTTTATAATTGATAAATATATTCCTGGGTAATAACTGTTTGCATCAGTAGGATAAAGCGAACCATGTTATGCAGACGTAAAAGAGAACTACTTCAAAAACCGCTCAATAACTTCCAGTAACTTTATTTATAACCTCTATTCCAGGTTTAAACCATACTTAGTAATATAAAGTAATGCTTTTTAATACTTCTAAATGGCTTTCAATGGCAAAAAATAAGGAAGCTGCTATGAAATAAGGTTTGTAATATTAATACATTCACAATGATTTTCGTCTTGAATAGCAGGCATTACTCTGGCTCACTACTGCCCAGAGTAATTCCTGCTATTCAAGACTCTGGCTCACCAGTGCCCGAGCTGCAAAATTGGTACACACTTGGCAGTTCAAACGTAGGTTCGATTCCTGGCGAACGAGCTGACTGAATGGGGGTTTTCGCAGTTTTCCCCCATGTGTATACGAGCCAGTTTCTCTTATAAAATCTTTCCCGAAAGCATCCTTAGGCAGGCAGTCCTAGTGTCCTTTGCTATAATCAGTTAAACCGAACTCATTAGAACGCACACTGGAGCGAAGTGTTATTACATAGGCTTCTTGTTTCAGCACATCAACATGAAACAGTTACCAATGATAATAATAGTTTCTGCCAAATTTTATTATTAAAAGTACAATGAATTAAAGTCTACATCTGTTTCCAACCATAGATGCTGAACTTTATTTTCGTTATTGATAAGTTTTTCATTTTACTTATTTACCTATTTTCGAGTAAAATATTGATTAAATCTTTAGGGGGTTCATTTTACACAAAAAATAGTATTTCAATGCTCCATAAAATTGTAGGATTTAGGTAGTTTTCTATTAAAAGTATTTCTCCTGTTGAGAGAGAAAAATATTGTTTTGTGTAAAAAGAAACTTCCTCTCTACAAAATAATAAAATTTTAAAAGAATGGTTAAAAAATCAAGTACAATGTAAAATGAAAAATTTTTTTAAATAATTTTCACAATAATAAAGAAGCTTTAGGGTATATATTTGTCTGAGGATGAGGAAACCGGTTTAACGTGGCATTTTTGATGTTTCGCATTTGATTGGCGGAAACCAGAATCACTACTCTCTTAAGAGGAAAAACCAAGAGCGCGGATTTAATTGGGGAAAAATCATCATTGGAAGTGTCGTAAGAGTGCTGCTCCCATCTTCTCACATCGGAGGTAAGGCATCTCTTGTATGTTTCTAGAAAAGATTTTATAAAAATTGTTTTGCACTTTCTGTGCAAACATAGAAGATGTACTTCCTAATCGTGTAGAATTTTCTTATGTAAATTATATATTTTTATGCAAAATTTATGAAGAAAATTGTATTAAATTAGTAATTAACAATCGTTGTTTATTCGTAAAATAACATAATGTTGTAAAATGCATCAGAATAAGGTTTAAGTTATTCTTGCTTTCTAAAATTAAGTTTTCATTTACTTGTGCATTTTATGTAATAAAGATCAGATCCTTTGTTTCAAAAGCATGTCAGATCATAGTAATCCTTTTCTAAATTTTTCACTCTCAATTGGCATTAGAAGTTTACCTATTGTTTGAATACAATCAGTCGTTTATATGTTGTTTGAGTGATAGGCACCATAACAGGCTCATTGTTTTGTGCATTTTGTTGATTTCACTTTTCTTCATAACTCTGCATTTACTGCATTTCTCCCCCCCCCTCGACAAAAGGAGCAGTTTGCCGAAAAATGTATTTCATATTAAACAGGCTTATCATTATTGTTACGATTATTTATCTTCGAAGTTTTCACATTCTTGTTTTTCTGTTCCTTTAAAAAATAAAGAGATCTTTCCCATACAAGAAAGTTTTATTTTTCTTAAATATCTGTGAAAAAATTATATTTGATATCTATTAATAGTTTGATATTTCATAAACTAGTCTTATTTAAAAATAATAAACACACTATTAATTAAAAAAGATATTTTTCTCAAAAATATCTTATTAATTTATCTTTATAATTTGCTCTATTTTGCTCTAAAGTATCTTATTGCAAAAAATATTTTATGATTTGTTAAATATTTTTTTGTCTTTTTCTAAAACTTGCCTCATTAAGGAATAATGAAATGATGATCTTATGATCAAGGATCGAATCGTTGTTGAATAAATTCTAACGTAAAACATATATTATCGAAAAGGAAATTAAATCTTTTTTGTGTTTTGCTGTCGACAATTTCCAAATTATTGAAACGAAACGTTTTTCATCGTAAATTGTTTAAGCATATATTTGTGCAAGTTAAATTTGATATTATATGGATATTTTTGTATTGGAGTTCTCAGTTCAATAATGCTTTTAAATTAAAAAATAAAAGTATAATGCTCTAAATAGAGTAATAAAAGTACTGTAAATAAAAATATATATACTTTCATATAAAGTAAGAAATAAAAGACATTGCACTTTTATTGAAATGTTAAAAAAATTATGTTTACAGAGTATGAATTAAAAGCAAAATATACAATAACTAGAAACATCTAAAATATGAACAATTTTATGTTAAAGTAATTTTCAGTGTAACAGATAATGTAGTAAATCAAAGTTAGTCATATTTATTGATCAATCAACATTCAAAAGATTGGGAGAATAAATATTTGATTAATTATTCTTAATTTGTACCTGTGAACCGAACGAATTAAAGCATAAATGATATTATATCATAAATAATTTTAAATAAATTTTTAACAATAACATGAATCAAAGATATTAATGAGAGACATTAGTATTTGACTTCTTTTTTCGTTTGTTAAACATACTGATAAATTAATAATGTAATTATAGCACATTATCTAAATTATATTTTCTTTTTACGAGTATTAAAATTTAATTACGGGTCTAAGTGCTGTTCTGAAGCAAAAATTAATAAGGAGGTTTTTGGCGTAATAAACCCTGAATAACAATAATAACAACGCCAGCCAACAACAATAGTAATAATAATAATCTCTTATTCGTCAATTAAAACTTCCTTTTTGCTTCAGTTTTGTTTAGGAAGTTCTTATCTGATTTTTCCTTGAACAGGCACATTTATCTTACTTGCAAATATTTTAAAAAATATTAATGTAACAATAAAGATTATCATCATTTCCTTTTCCCACGAAAAATCGTTTTTTGCTAAAACTGGAAGCAACTACCTGTTAAAAATCGTTCAATCACTTTACAAATTTTAAAAAGTTGCTTAACTAGCTTATCAAACGAATCTAAAAATTGCTTAACTAGCTTATCAAAACGAAATCTTTAAAAGAAGTAGACTTCTTCATGATCTATTGACATTTTCAAATAGCAACAAAATTATTAAGGGATATATTTTTCACATGATTGCTGCTACGAAGAAATGTTACATTATGTGATCACTTAATGTTCTCTTTTTGTAAGAATTTACAGGTCATTAACGATTTAATAAAATATATTATGTAACACAAACACGTAATTTCTGACTAAGCTTCCTAGGTGTGCATAGTATGCTTCAGTAATAAAATTTAATGACATCTGCCTCAGCAAGTATATGAAATTCAACTTTATGCAAAAATTAAATCCTAAATTGTAAAGGAAAGGATTTATAAGATATTGTAGTAGAAACGAAATATTTGTATGATTTAATGCAGTTTCGAATTTTAGTAAAGTTAGAACTACTGTTATTTTAATTTAGATATCTCACAAGTATCTCCTTCTCTGCTTTGATACCGGTTTCTCGGAAACTCACGCATTTTCTGAAAGCTTATGTTGTCGAAAAACTGTGAAATCTTAGGGGCTTCCATTTAGGAGCTATAGGGCCCACAAAGTATCAGAAAATTGTTGAAAACATGACACAAAATGTCGCTAAAATGTTCGTTTCACGTATTTATTTGAACTAATGATATGGTAAGAAGGTGGAGATCTCAATATAAAGGAAAAAACAACTCGTCAAAAAGTTGGAATATTGAAAATGTGACCTGTTATTGACTTCAAACAAAACCTATTACAAGAAACAATCAATGCGCAATTCATCATATAAACAGAGAGACGGGCAGAAAGACATTGGGCACATTTTACAAAAGCGATAGCTTCACACTTTGCATACTCATCATTTGTCAATGATTCAAAGCAGTAATTCATTAGCGCAATCCACATTCAAGGTTCGTCGTCCAAGTATTTGCCCTTAATGCATACTTAATCAAGTTCTTAAAACGAAGAGTGCTGAATCGATGTAGTGCAAAGGACTGCAGGGCCAGAAAACTATCGCGATGCCAAATATACCCCTGTGTCTCTATAATGATTGTGCCCGTTATGTAACGAACAAAAGATTTGTAGTGTCGTGAATATATAGAGGCTGGATCTTTCCCGTAAATCCTTCAGGTACAAGTAGTAGGACTTTACCATCAGGTACTTCGGAAGCAATCAGTGCATGAACATACAATAAACAGAGACGCCATTACGGAAATATATTCACCTAATACACACTTCAATGGTACTTTGTGGGTTTTATAGCTCCTAAGCGCTTGTCCCTCTGTTCCTAAGACTTCACAGTTTTTCTATTTGTGATATAAGTTTTCAGAAATTATATGGGTTTCTGGAAAACCGCTATCAAAGGAGAAAATGTTTACTTTGTCAGACATATATAAGAGGACATAGTGCTTATAAAAACTAATGTCATTGTTTTAATAGATATGCGCTGTTCAGATTGAATAGGTGTCAGCTTTTAATATTTTTCAACCATTCATTCTGAAGAAGTTGAATTGGAATATTACTAAATTTCATTACAATAGTCAATAAAGTTATATAAATTCATTTTATTACACCATTTTTTATGGAAAAAAAAATGACATATAAAAATCGGCTAAATTATTAACATAATTAGATGTGAATATAAATTAGCTTTATATGTAGTGTCTGAGAAACAAAAACTAATTTTTTTCAACATGTACTTAAAATTCTGCTTAAACTAGGGTTATCAGTTATTTTCGTTACTTAGTTGATCAACTGAAACATACGGAAATAGAATTTTGTTGATTAAAATATATATATGACAAAAACATGACATACCATATAAAGTGTAAAATAAATGATAAATTATTAGAGAAGTTATTTTTGTGGAGTAAAAAATCTGATGATACCATAGGACTTCCTTATAAGAGGGTATTAAATTACACAATTTTTTTTTTGTGCTACATTTTATTTAAACTTATTTCCTGGAATTATTCTAACTGAACCGACCGATCCCTTGAGGCAAGTTGAAAATGACATCAAAAATTAAAATTTTTCTTAAAATTAAATATCCCGATCAATTTTTTTCATATTTAGAGTTTTATTTTTTCATACTGCCGGGTAACGGGATATATATACGAATATATATGTATTAAATTTGTTATTTCTGATTGCAATTAAAAAGACAGTCACCCAACTAGATGTTCTAGTAGTCCCATATACAAAATTTTAACGTTCTATAGCTAATCGTTTTTGACTTATGTGAGATATATAAGTTCCAGAAAATTCCTTATGTGTCCATTTTAAACCCATTTTGCAGCCGATTTTGGGAAAAAAAGAGTGCTTTATTCTGTCCGTGCATATAGATATCAGAGAAAAAAAGTGGTCAAATTGGATTCGAGAACGGTCAAAATGGACCTTTTTTTACCGTACGATACTCGAAATTTTTTGCGATAACAACAATACTTCCTTTAATTCGTACAAGGAAGTAAAAAGGAAGTGAGCAATGAGAATTAAGAGTTATTAGAAAGCTGTGACGTGCTGAGTGTTATTAGAATGACGTGACGTAAGAAGGAAATTGAAAGCACGTATATCAGGAATCAATGAATATGTATTATTCTTTTCAAACAAATTATGAAACACAACTCATTCATGAGATTCCCCGATACTCTTGCAGGTGACTTCCTTCGAGAGAAGCCTAACTATCTTTGCCTTGAATCTTCGCAGTGATTCTTTCGCTTAGCTATTTGAAAATAAATTTTAATGAATTTCATAGTTTTTAGGTTTGGTACTCACGTTTCGGGATTTGTGTTGCAAAAGATGTTTGTCTCGGCAAAGTGATGGTGAAGCTATTTTCTTGTGGATCATGAAGTATTAAAAAAAAATTGTGTATTTATTCTTAAGAATAAATTAAAAATATTAATTAGTTATAATGGGAAATTTTTAATAATTATATTTCTTAATTTAATTCATTAGCACGTTAATTTC